TCAACGCTGCCTGAACCCACACGGCTTAATATAGCCATTATATACCCATTATATAGCCCATTATAGGGCAGGGGTCCCCATTAAGGGTCCCTCCTTTTCCCCTTTGAGTCAGGGGAGAATGCCATCTCTGGGCCTGTGAGTGTCAGGTCTTTAGGGTTTAAGGTTTAGGGTTAGGAGTTTAGGGTTTAGGGTTAGGAGTTTAGGGTTTAGGGTTAGGAGTTTAGGGTTTAGGGTTGAGGGTTCTGGGAACAAAACACTACCTATAGTCTCCATTGTAGTTCCGTTTTCCCGAAAGCATCGCGAAGGGTTCTTCCGTGTGGAACATAGAATCAACTCACTTGCAGCTTGACTTGTACATAGATGACAGACATAGAATCAACTCACTTGATTCCATACTTTACTCTACACTCTACACTTGATACTTGACTCTACACTTGATACTTACTTACTTACTTGACCCCTATGACTGACTCTCTACACTTGACACTTGACTCTATGATACTTGACTCTACACTTGATACTTGACTCTATGTTATGCTTACTACTTACTTACTTACTTACTTACTTCAATCTACTTACTAACTTACTTGACACTTGACACTGGACTCTATGTTATGCTATCTCTATACTTACTTACTTACTTGACTTGCTTACTTATACTTACTATACTTACTTACTTATGACTGACTCTCTATGCATCTATGACTTACTATGACTTATGACTTACTCTCTACATCTCGGTATCTTAATATTTCTTTTAAAGGCGGGGGTGGCACCGTCGGGGTCCATCGGGAATGCAACCCTTCACAGGGATTCGCCTCCTCGGGCGTTCAAACGCGAGGTAAAGTTACACATTTTAGGCGCGCGGGTGAACCCTTCCCAAGGATTCGCTGCCTCGGGCGTTCAAACGCTAGGTAAAGTGACACATTTTAGGCGCCCGGCGCAACCCTTCCCAGGGATTCGCTGCCTCGGGCGTTCAAACGCTAGGTAAAGTGACACATTTTAGGCGCACCGCGCAACCCTTCCCAGGGATTCGCTGCCTCGGGCGTTCAAACGCTAGGTAAAGTGACACATTTTAGGCGCACCGGGGAACCCTTCCCAGGGATTCGCTGCCTCGGGCGTTCAAACGCTAGGTAAAGTGACACATTTTAGGCGCACCGCGCAACCCTTCACAGGGATTCGCTCTCGGGCGTTCAAACGCTAGGTAAAGTGACACATTTTGCGGTTCCCGCGCAACCCTTCCCAGGGATTCGCTGCCTCGGGCGTTCAAACGCGAGGTAAAGTTACACTTCTTGCGGGCGCCGCGCAACCCTTCACAGGGATTCGCCTCCTCGGGCGTTCAAACGCGAGGTAAAGTTACACTTCTTGCGGGCGCCGCGCAACCCTTCACAGGGTTTGGGTGCAGTTCAATTTTTTTTGCAACCCTTCACAGGGATTTGCATTTTGCAACCCTTCACAGGGATTGGCGTGGTCGGGTGTTCGAACGCGAGGTAAAGTTGCATTTTTTGATTTGCATTGAAATGAATTTTGCAACCCTTCACAAGGATTGGCGTGGTCGGGTGTTCGAACGCGAGGTAAAGTTGCATTTTTTGATTTGCATTGAAATGAATTTTGCAACCCTTCACAAGGATTGGCGTGGTGGAGTGTTCGAACGCGAGGTAAAGTTGCAATTTTTGATGAGCATTGAGATGAATTTTGCAACCCCTCACAGGGATTGGCGTGGTCGAGTGGTTGAACGCGAGGTAAAGTTGCAATTTTTGATGAGCATTGAGATGAATTTTGCAACCCTTCACAGGGATTGGCGTAGTGGAGTGTTCGAACGCGAGGTAAAGTTGCAATTTTTGGATGAGCATTGAAATGAATTTTGCAACCCCTCACAGGGATTGGCGTGGTCGAGTGGTCGAACGCAAGGTAAAGTTACACATTTTGAGGTGCCCCGCGCAATCCTTCATTGAGAGGGATTAGCTTCCTCGAATGTTCTAATCGGAAGGTGTGCAGGTACTGTTGCATGGTCTTTGGGCGCTGCGTGTAACCCTCTGCATGGATTGGCGTGGTCCAGGGTTGAAACGTGTGTGCAAACTACTACTTGTATCCTTTCCGCCGTGCAACTCTCCACAGGGAGTGGCGTGGTCGATTGCAGGAACTTGCATCTCTGCGAGGTGCAATTGGCAACCCTTCAGAGGGATTGGCAGATGCATATATCGATAATATACGCACATATATATATATATATATCTATCTTTCTATCTATCCATATATGGATAGATAGATAGATAGATAATAGATATATAAGCACATGGATCCGTCAACGGAGCAGGAGTGCACCATGAAGTTGTGAGGTACCGTGGGCGTCTCAGGCCGATTGACAATCGAAGGCTGCCGAGCGAGAACTATGATGGGCGAACCGTCAACGGCAACTTCAAGTGCTCGCATTGGTACATTGGTGCGGCGGAAGCGTAGTGATTCCCAATGCCTCGGTGTTCTCCTCCTGGCCGCGACGTCCTGTGAGCAGACAAAGGCTCATCGAGACGCAGGAGCTCCTCGATTGCGTGGCACGTTAAATACTTTGCGGCATCTGGCGGGTTTCCTGGTGAAGTAAGGTGTTTCACTTCGGAACGGTGTCTTTCCAAATCCCTAATGACTGCACTGCCTTTCGCTGCTGGAATCCCGGCGCCACGGATCGCGCAGCAGCTCAGCGAGGTGGACCCGTTTGTGGTATAGGATAGATCTTAAATCCCCAATCATCCTTTGAGAGACCCGTGTTGTGACTGCCGCTTGGGAATGTTTGCCAGATGCCGCCGGGTTTCTTCTTCTGAGATAGTATACCTTGGGTTGATACACAGGGTGTCACCGAAGCCTGGGGCTCTCGATGAATGTCTGCAGCTAGAATCAATCTTTCTGGAGGAGGCTCTGGACCACCATGATCCCTGCATTAGTCCTACTACTAGGCCTAAGGACCCATAAGCCCCTGGCGTTCCCCTGGAGTCTGTTGAATCGGCTAAGTAACATACGCTGGCCTTTTGTGGTTTGAGATGAAGAGCGAAACCCTAATTCCCGACTCCTTTCAGAGACCAGTGTTGCGGCTTCCGTTTGGGGATGTTTGTCAGCTGCCGCTATGTTTCTTCTTCCATGATACTATACCCCTATACCCTGGCTTGGTATAATGCGTGCTATGGAGGCTCGGGGCTCCCGACGAACCTTTGCAACTACAATCAGCCATTTTCACGAGGCTCCGGACCACCGTAATCCCTGGGATGACCTCTCCCGGCACCTCCTCAGGCCGCCTCTCCGATGCCGGTCTTTGGGACGTTGCTTGCTTGCTTCGACGCTGTCTTGCGAAAGAGCAAGCAAGCAACGACGCCGCCACGAGAAGAATGTGCGTGTGTGTAAAAAAAGCCAAGTCTTCAGGAAGATTTTAAGATGTGCCATGGCTGATCAGAGACCAGTCAGTCACCTGTGACTCTGTCCTCATTCGCAGCTCTATTATTGTGAAGTCAGTGAAGCTTCTTGCAATAACGCCATTTTCTGCAGCTGGTGTTTCCGCTGGTACAATGAGGACGATGTGAGGCGTTCCACCCTTCATAACTTGAGAGGCAGGAATGCCAAGGACGAGTGGCCAGTTCTTGGCCAGGCACATTTCCATATATATATAATATATATATATAATATATATATATATATATATATATATATATATATATATTTATATGTATAGTATCCATATATTATGCATTTGCCAATCCCTCTGACAAGTTGCCACTTGACCTGTTGAGTCAGGCTCTGAGCCCTCACGCTAGGCGGATCTTGATTAAGCGTTCCCACACACAGGGCATAGAGTGAACTACATCGAGTCAAGTGTATGGTACAAAGATGACTCCACGACTCCGTGACTCTATCTCACTACAACTCTATGACTTTATGAATCATGACCCATGGACTCTATGACTCTTGATTCTGTGACTTTACGATCCTATACAGTGACTCTATCTCACTACGACTCTATGACTCTATGTCACTACAACTCTATGACTTTATGACTCATGACCCATGGACTCTATGACTCTTGACTCTGTGACTTTACGATCCTATACACTGACTCTATCTCACTACGAGACTATGACGCTATGTCACTGCAACTCTATGACTTTATGACTCATGACTCATGGACTCTATGACTCTTGATTCTGTGACTTTACGATCCTATACACTGGATCTATCACATAGCCCCACACTCTTCGCTGATGATGCTTTCGGGCCAATTGTCTTATAGTTTTGGCTATTTGGCTAACCAGTTTTATGGTTTGGATCCTATAATAGAGATTTGGTTAACCAAAAAAGGAATTACAATGGAGACTATAGGTACAAGCATGTCACGAGATGTCAGGAGTATAAGAGAAACGAATCAGCTGGGGCCTACGGCTCGTGGCAGGCTCGAACCGGTGATTCTCTCAAGCAGGGCTAGGGCTGCTCGGGCTCAGGTCTCCAGATGTGGGTAGTTCTCTTAACTAGGATGACCTTTCAAGGCGTTTCAAGGTCCTTCTTATCAGGGTGCCGCCCCCCTTTTTGGTTCCTACAGGGACCCTACTTGGGGCTTTAGGCTAGAAGTTGAGGGCTCCTCTGTAGCAGGAAGATGCACTGGGAAGATGCTGGAGCGCGAATGAACACGACACAGACCCTGAACCCTCAGCCCTAATTAAACCCAAACCCAAGCCCTAAACCTTTAAACCCGAATCAAAGAAACCCTAAACCCTACACCGCAGGCACAACCTGAACTGCGGCTCTCCGCGCAAACTTGTGCTTTCTACCCTGAGCCTGAGAGTCCATGTACCCAACCAGTATTTACTTTGGCCCAAAGTATCTCTAAAGGCACTGCCCTAAGGCCAAAGTATGTACTATTTGGGTGCATGGACTTTTTGGGCGAACCCCAAAAAATCTTAAATTCAAACTTAAGCCAATCGATCCTCCCTAAACCCTAAACCCCTTTCTGGGACACACCCGGCCTTGATGTGGGAGCCATCGAAATCCTGATCAAATGGCTCAGGCCCAACCACTAAACCCTGGACCCTGAACACTAGATCCTGTCGGGGTAATTACGGCTGAGTCGTCGTAGTGGTTACAATTATCTGATGAATAGCTGCCACACTCCTACATTATTGTTCTTATAGTCTTCAGGTATTTGCTTCTGACTGCAATCGCGAGTCCGCGTAGCTTCTATGGAGAGTTGCTTCCCCAAAGGCACCTAGGTACCGAAAAAGCAGAAAGTAGGGTTCTACAGTAGAAATTGCTACTGTACTGTGGTTTGGGTGGGTATTCCTCATGTATGCACCTACCCCAAGGGTCCAAGTACCCAGTAATCATATACTTTCCAAAATCCTAACCTACATAGCTACTATCCTAGAACCGAGTACCTAATTACTAAGGCCCATATAATAGAACCCTTATAGTAGCCCTTTTTTGAAGGAACCTTATAGAACCCGTTAAAAAAAACCCTAATTATTGGGTTCTTTGGAATCTTGGGGCTAGGACCCCTTGTCTTTACCATAACTGAGTTGTCCTTTAAGCCCTTTGAAAATTATTAACTATTCTGGTTCTCTACAAAATTAGTTGGGAAATTAAAACACTACAAAATTGTTGAGAAATCAAAACAGACCCCAAAGGACAACCCAGATAATTTACCACTGATCTAAGTTGCAACTCCGAAGTTTCGCCTGCAGGCCTGACATGCCTACAGCAGGGCCTGGGATTTAGGGTTTAGGGGATGAGGGTTTCGGGGTTTAGGGTTTAGGGCTCAAACTCACAAGCCATGTTCCGAGGTTCAGGGGTTGTAGGCCGAGGCAGTTGCAGGGTGTAGGACTTGCCCTAAACCCTGACACTGATTCGGATGTTCTGGAGAGTGCGTGCAATTTTTGGTTGTGGATTGAGGGGTGTGCGGCCTGAGAGTACTGTTGATGGACAAAATCCTGCATGACCCAAGGACTCTAAACTATGGGAACTATGGTATATTTCTTATAATGGGTAATGCAGGATTCTGTCCCTCAGCAGTATGAAGCTGCTGGTGGCCCGAGGTCCTTTCTATTAATGACAGATGCTGGACCTTGCACCTTCGATGATTCACGGGCTTCTATTGGTATTGATGAGGTTTCAGTCCCTTTTTGGGTACCCTAAATATTAAGTGCCGTATTATAATATGGACCCAAAAGGGGACCCTAATTTTTGAGAACTGCCCTGAAAGTTTTCTATGATGAGTTTCCATTTGATGATGGTGATGCTGGTGGACCCGGAACCCCAAGCCTCCAAGCTGCAAGCCGCAAAACCCTAAAACCGTAAACTGGGGCAGGTGCTGGTGCCAACATACATCCCACTACCCCTCCGACTTCACTGCAATGTGCCTGGTCCGCCATGATCATAATGCTGCCATACCGCAATGGCTTCACCTTGGACTGCGCCGCATGACCCCAAGTCATGAACTTACCCCTGCGGCTCATGTTCTCTGGTCCGTGTCATGCACGATGTTGAGGTGTATGCTGATCCTAACAAAAACATTATCTTTTAAGCACAGATGACATGGTTTCGGTAAGGACCTAGGGTGCGTGGGGAAGATCGAGAAGCATGACTCCAAGGTTCAGGGTTCAGGGTGTAGGAAGCGTTCAAGCGACCCAAACCATCCTAAACCCTACACCCTACCTCTAGTCTCCATTGTAGTTCCTTTTTGGGGTTACGTTTTAGGATCCTTAAGATAAAATGGGTTAAACCAAAAAACGAACTACAATGGAGACTATAGGTAGAACCCCCTATCCAACCCTAAACGACTTTCTTCCAAGACGGGAGGGTTCAGAGGTGGGGTCTGGGGCTTTCGGGTTTTAGGGTTTGGGGAGGAGTTGTTCACAGGGGGGACGGTGGGAGGGGTTGGAGCTTTGCGGCTAGGGTTTTTAGAGTTTAGGGTTCGAAGAGTGCCCTTGTGCTCAAGCTTTGTGAGTTCTCTGTGTGTGTGTTGTGTGTCTTGTCATCCGATCCCAAGCCCACGAACTAAGCTCCCCGATCCAACGGGTTCCACCAGTTCTAGTTTTGTCGAAGCTCTCGGCACAACGCAGGGGCATAAGGTTCAGTGATCTCAGAATGGGGCTTTGGGGAAAATTGTAGTATGCATTTATACATGGACTATAAGGGGTCACCTCATCGTTGGGGCTGGTCGCAAAGACGTATCCGAAAAAAGGTCAGAGGGCCCAGAGCCTCCAAAACCCCTGAATTAAGGAATATACCTTAAATTATAGTAGGATCCCTAATATGATTTTAATGTATATTCCTTAATTAAGTGGGGTGGCTCATCTTCTAGGGTTCCAAGGAAAGTTCTCACCCTGCTCCGGCTGTGCTCTGATGTGGTGGGGAAGCCCGGATGTTCGGTATGCCTGTTCGGCTCTGTGGAAGGCAAGAATCAGGAAGGCGTAATCAGCTGAAGTAAGTGCTGACAAGACAGGGAATGATGATGGTGTTGTCGCCGATCTTGCAACTGATCCAAACCCCTACCTAGACCACCAACTGCCCTCTATTATACCCCGATTGATTACACACTTTGAGTACCGCAAGGGCTCTGTGAAATGGCCCTCAGGGGCCTGGCATGCTTCTGATTTTCAGGATCATAATCTAACATAGGGGCCCTAAGAATTGGAATATTAGGCTTTTGGGTATATTGTACCCTAATAAATCCCACACCCCTAAAATATTGGTAGTTACTGAAGCTTTTATATTACCGACTCTAAGATCGTAGCCCAGAGCTCCGCGTACAAGGTGTCTCAGGGAAGGCACATGAAAGCCTAAACCCTGAAACCTAAACCGGGCTTTTCGGATTTGGGTTTACTTTTTCAGGTGGCTTTCGGGCCTTATTACCCCTAAGTCTACGTACCTACCGAACCAAACCACAAACCCTGAAGCCCAAACCCTGAACCCCAAGTTACGAAGCCCCCAACCACCCCTAAGCCTAACCTACATAACTACTATCCTAGAATCTCCTGGAACCGAGTACCTAATTACTAAGGCCCGTATATTAGAACCCTTATAGTAGCCCTTTTTGGAAGGAACCTTATAGAACCCTGAAGCCTTGAAGCTGGTCGCATTTTTTAGATATTCGGTCACCCTATGCTCGAAAGACCCATGCACTGAACCAGGGTTCCTTTAAGGGGTCTATAGGGTTTATATAGGGTTTAGGGCTTTTGTAAGGGTTCCCCAAACACCAAGCAAAGAAGCCTCAATCCAAAAAAAAACACCAAGGCCCACTCCCAGCATTTTCGATTCTAGACCCTACTTGGAGGATCATGGGACTTAGTAAGTAAGGTTATAAGTACCTTATTTGGGGTTATAAGTAGTTATAAGTATAATTACCCTAATTATAACCCTAGTTACTAAGTCCCATGATCCTTTAAGTAGGCGCAGTACGCCCGCTCTACCCCTTTAAGGGAGCTTGTAAGGGAACTTGCAAATGAGCCCGCCAAGGGCTTCATGGCCCTCAGGGTTCTAGCAGTTTCAATCATCTATACCCCCCTGAGAACCATAACAAAAACCATATGTTTAATATTCTCCTGGGTTGTATATGAACAAAAAAATACCTAAGGAGACTATAGTCATCCAAGTTGCGGAGTCATAGACCTTCTGCTGTTCAAGGCCTCGAACCGACAACAAAAACAACAATTCAAGGGGCTTAAATGTGTTTGGGGTTCCATTGTGTCAGAGTTTGATGAGATTTTCCATAAGGGGTCCATAAGAGCTAGGCAATAAGGGTTTGGGGTTTTGGGTTTAGGCCTTTGGGTTTAGGGCTTGGGGTTGAGGAATTGGGGCTTGGGATTTACAGTTAAAGGTGTAGACGAGTTTGGGTCGGGGCTTTTGGAGTTGAGGGTCTCCAGACTTGGGGCTTATGGTTTGGGGGTTTAGGGTTTAGGGTTTAGGGTTTAGGGGCTTGTGGTTTGGGGGTTTGGTGTGTTGCTTCTTTGCAGAAGGAGCAAGAGCACGTCGGCATTTCTTCGGAAATGAAAACTATTCTCGTTTTCTATGGCCCAGGGCACACTTTGCGGAAACCCTAAACCCTAAAACCTATAAACCCTAAACCCTAAACCCAACTGCGTCAAAGGGTTCAAGGAAACCTGGATAAACCTGGTGCTGCGTTCCAACAACAAAGACTCTGGCACATTGCTGCGAAGCCCCGTGAAGAAGCTAAGCCCAGTAAGATCCAAACCCAAGGATTCTATAACCTCAACCTGAAGATGCTCCATGCCCTGAACTCTCTGTCTCAAGTTACAGCATAATGTCTACATTCTACTATATTATACTACGTTATCTTATACTAATGTGTTCTAACATATACTGTTGTATTATACTGTTTCATGACTCTGCAAGGTCCAAACCCAGGATTTGGATGACGTTCTGGATCTCGGCGTTGTTGACGGTCTGCTGGAAGTTGGCCTGAGGGTTTCGCGTAGTTGCCGAGTAACGGTTTAAAGGTTCAGGGTTTAGCGCTTAGGCTGAGTACCATAGCTCCAAAACGATTAACTTTTCAATTATGGTAGGATTAACACCACAAAAGGTTAACGGCTACCCACCTACTAAGTTTGTGATGCGGGCAAAAGACAACACACTAGCGGCTGGCTGTGCGTTTAAGCTTGGGGATTCCGGGAACAAATTCGAAATTCACATGGGGGTTTCCGAAAATAGGGGTACCTAATTTTGGGGTCCTTATAATGAGGATCCTATTATTTAGGGCACTATCTTAGGGTCCCCTATTTTGGGAAACTCCGACATGGCTGAGAACCGGGCATCTCTGACGTTCAGGAGCTTGCCTTGCGAAATGCAAGAAGCGATCATTGCTTGCCGGGCCGAGGGGACGTAGCAAGTATCGCTATTAGAGCCACGTGGCTGTTAGTGTATACTGAGTCCATGTGGAGACACATCTATATTAAAGCTGAAGTGGCTGGAGTATATAATAGACGGGTACATGGAGCCGCCGGGAGAGGGCATTGCCCTCGGTTAAAAACGATTTAGGACTACCCCTTCCTGAGCATTGGCCCAACCCGCTAACTCAGCTCTGCAAAAACCAAGGGACCTTCCCACTACCAAACCCCCCCCCACACCCACACACCCACACACTCACCCAACACAATACGCATATTAATAGCAATAGTTACAACATGACCAAGAAACAAGTTCATCAGGACGATGGTGCTATTCATCACGGCAATGGTAAACCTGATGACAATACTTGTGACGGTTATGGTAATTTAACAGGGAGCACCATGCGCAGAGAAAGCAGCACAAGTGATCACAGGATAAACGGTACTAGCATTCATCACCACCGACATCACAACCATGCTTTTAAACACAAAAGCAACAATGATGCTGCTCAAAATTGAAACGATGAGAACAATCCAAAGCAGCGCCCCACCTCGGAGCGGAAAGACTCCGAAGCGGTCACGGCCGACGATGCTGAGACCAGCGATTGCCAATGCCTCCAGGGTGTCATGCCGGGTTTAGGCAGGTTCAGGCTTTCTCGTATTTGTAGACGCCGTTCTTGGTTGTCTCATGACTTCATTCGGATGGCAGTCGAACATGTTAAGCACTGGCCTAGTCTTTGCGGGTCTTCCAGGTTGGCCTAAAGCCTCCGAAAAATATTCGTAAATAGGGTCCTATGAAGCCCAATAAGGGGAAAAATATAACATCCCAAAAGCCTACCTAGTCTTGAAGTTAAAGCTAGCGCGGCTTCAGCAGTCTCAGAGTCTCCCCAAAGGCTCCATGTACCTGTATAGTATAGATACTTAAGCCTTAGATGGGTCCCTAAAAAGGGTACTTTCAGACTTAAGTATAGACTATATGGATACATGGAGCCTTAGGGCTCAGGCGTGTGATCTGTGGTTACAAGCCCTTGCCGTGTGCGGCCTATCACCTTGGATGAACTTAAAGACACATAGGCCTTTGCAATAACCTAAACCTATTCTTGAACAAACCAAGAGACATCTAAACACCAAATGTTTGGTTAACAGACATGGGAATTCAGATGGAATGCATGCCCCTGCATTCTGTAGGTTTGGGGTTGCAGGTATGGTGATGTTGCAGTTTAGGGCTAAGAGTTTACGTTGCCGAGCTCCAGCTTAACTACCAGGATTGCATATAGAGCCAAACGAGTGATGTTTCGTGGGTCATGCAAGTATCGAGTCGTGGACTTTGCATAAGTCCTGTGGACCCAGGCCGCAGGCGGCATATGTAGAGTACTTCTAGACTGTGTTGGGCAAACGGTATCACAGATGGTTAAGAGAGGACATGATAGAGATATTCTAGCTGTTCGGATATCAGGGGCTTGAACAGATCTGGGAGTTTCAGGAAATAGGGGACCCTAGTAATAGTAGCCTAAATTATAGCGACCCCCCAAACAAGGTACCCCGATTTTCGGAAACTTCCATGTGTACGGATATGGTCAGAAGCTCCAGCTGGGATAGAGTTGAGTGCATCTCGCCGGTATCTCGGACCGTTGAGGATTTGGGATCTGTATGGGTCTGTGTTGGTTTCGGGTCATAACAAAAACGTACTCTACTGTTCAGATCAGGACTGTGCAGTCTCATCAGGTACGTAGGTATGTGTGTGTGTGCGCGCGTGTGTCTGTCTGTCCGTGTGTCTGTGCATCTATACTCTATACCTGCAGCCCTCAGCTCCCCAGGTTACATCGTGACACCCGTGACGACATGTATTGTGCGTCACTTCACCCGATAAACACACAGAGAGAAAGCTAGATGGAAAGCTCAAAGCCGAATGATCACCTCAAAACCATGATAAACGTGCTGTTCAAGCATTTATAGAACCGGAAGCCCTGTAGCATCCCGTCGCGACAGAATTGTTTACACAAGAATGCAGACTAAGTCCTCAACCTTGAGATAAACCCTAAACGTTCACCTCAAGTCCTAAACCCTCGACTCTAAATCCTCCGCCCTCTCTAGTCTCACCTCTAAACCTCCAACCATCAGTTCGAAACCCCCAAACCCTCAACTCTAACCGGAAAGCCCTGCCTTTGCACTGTCTCCCTCTGTGAGGATGAGGGTGCACTCCTCCAAAGGCTCTAGAGTGAACGAAAAAAGCGCCGGATGTGGGGAGTAGGGCTTCAGTTTTGAAGTTCACAGGGGTGTAGACGTAATAGTTTCCCAGAGAGCCCAATACCCCTTAATGAAGGAGTATAGCTTAAATCATAAGGTGATTCCCCTTATTATTCAAGGTATCTTCCTTAATTAAGGGGTATTGGGCTCTCTGGGAGAGCATTCGTGGCAGCACTGGCCGCTGCTATGGTTGGTAGTGGATGTACCCTGCGGTGAGGTTCTCCTGCGTAGTTAGACTCAGTGACTCTCTGCTAGACAGAACGATGTTCCTTCTGTTCCTTTTGTATGAATGTTGCAAACTAGCTAACAATACGATGCGCGGTGAAACTGGTGCCTTGTAACATCTGTATTGCTGTAGTCCATGCAGTCGCTCGGGGGCCAGCCAAATTGGCCTCCACACCAAAGCTATGCAGGCATCATCTGGAGTTGGAGGTCGTGTTCACTGATGCGTCCGTTTGCCAAAGGGCCCAAGTACCCAAATAATGATACAGTCAATCCGCATACTTACTTGCAACATTACGATCCCAAGCCCGACTACGTTAGGCACATCACACCCTCCAAACCCTGTAGCAAACTCCAGAACCCTGATAGAACCTTGCTTATTACTTAGTACTTTGGACGGTTGAGGCTATGGCTGTATCTTCCCAGAGCGGACGTTAAGTTCAATGACGAGGATCCCCAGTGGCCTGAGTAGGGAACCTAAGACCAGAAGTCGGAAAAAAGGGCCCTGAACCCTGAACCCCAATCCCTGAACCCTAATGCCTGAACCCTAACCCCTACACCTACACTCCCCCTTTGGCCGACCTAACAGAGGGGCCTTAACAATGAGTAGAATAATGTTTTGGGGCCGATTTATACTATAGTCATAATACGGCGCCACTAAAAATAGTACTGGTAATCATTACGGCCCCTAATATAGGATTTTTATAATAGATCCCTTTTTGACCTTTTTTAAGGATACCTTTAAAGGGAACCCTAGGTAGCTATTTAGGCCCATATGTTAGGCCTAGAATGAATGGAAGACCGGGACGAAGTTCGGCACGCAGTCCCTCTCGGACTCCCTATTTTAGGACTGGGCCTCCCTGCTTGGGGCTGATCCTTAAGGGGGGGTGGTTCAAGGGGGGAGGGTACTAGGGAGCTTCGGGGAACCTTAGGGAAGCTTAGGGAGTATTGGGGAATAATGGGGATTACTAGGTTACCTACCCCCCTTGGACCACCCCCCCTTAAGGACATCCTAGTATGGCTTTATGGGGTTGAAGGCTTGGGGTTTGGGGGTTTGGGGTTTATGTGGGTTCGGGGTTTAGGGTTTATGGATAAAGACAAGGTTCAAGGATCAAGATGATGGGATTTAGGCTCTAGGGCTCAGGGTTTAGGAAGAACCCTCAACCGAGGCTGAGATGTAAAACAAGTTGTGCCTTCCACATTCAACTTCTGGCCTCATGCTGAACTCACACCGACCCCCCTCCCACAAAAACCGAAATCCTGAAGTACGAAATGCTATTATAAACCGTAAAAGCTAAACGGCAAACCGCGTAAGCCCAAAAACCAGGCAGGCTTAAACTAAGCCACTGCGGCTCCGATGACCGCGACTATGTTACAGATTCTCGGCGATTCAGTCTACTGTAAGGATTCAGAGTCTAGGGTCTTAGAGTTTAGGGTCTAGCCGAGGGCTCAGGATTTAGAGCTTAGGGTTCTTTTCGCGGAGTTTAATGATTAAGCACATCCTGACTCCTTTAAACTTAGTCCAAAACATACTGCGCTGCTATGTATCATCAAAACCGTGTTCCGACTACAACCCATACTCATCATCGCGGAAAGGGACCCGATTGATCATTCCGCTTTCCCACAGCATATCACAGTATATCATAGTTGCATAGGGAGCACACAGGGATACCACATGAGGAGTAATTATCTATTATCACGCCGAAACCCTACACCCCCTGACCCTAAAACTCTAAAACCCCTGAACCCTAAACCCCAAAACCCTAAACCCGAATTAAACCCTAAAGCCCTAAACCCCCGCATGGAGAGACCTATCTCGGGGCCACCTCGGAATGCTTGGTGCCGGCCAGGTTCGCATCTTCCAGCTTGGGGATCTCGGTAAGCGTAGGCTTGGGGGTGTAGGCTTTAGGGTTTAGGGTTTCGGGTTTAGGCTTGAGGGGGCTTAGGGATTGGGGTTTAGGGCCTTTCAAGGATTAGGTGTTGGAGGTTTTGGGGGGTTTCACGGTGTTGCGAGTTTTGGGCTTCAGGGCTTTAGGGGGTTTGGGGTTTTGGACGTTGCGGTCTACGGTGTACGAATTAGTGCTTTTGGGGCTGTCGGGGTTTAAGGTTTAGGGCTTTAAGCACTTTCAAAGCTTTAGAAACTTGTAGATTTCGGGCTTCTGGGCTTTAGGAACTTTTTGGGATTGGGGTTCGGGGCTTTTGGGTTTCAGGGCTTTGGCGGCTTCTTAGGAACGGGGAGCCTGCTCTCCTTTATAAGTGGGCAATACATATCTTAAGCCGGAATAACCTACTTTTTTAGGGTTCCTTATTATGATTTCCTTATATAAGTCCTTAAAAAGGTAGGTTATTCCGGCTTAAGGTACCCCAAGGGTCCAAAGGATCCAATAATTAGGTACATGGGTTTAGGATTGTACCTAGAGGCTCATACCCTGCCCCTGTTTTAGGGCGCCTACTTTTTAAGATTACAGATCCTCACCATAAAACTAGGTATCCTAAAAAAGGGGTAGGGTATGAGCCTATAGGTAGTTATGTAGGCTACTATTTGGGAGAGTGCATGATAATAAGGTACTTGGACCCTTAGGGATACCTTCGAGCCTAGCAAGACGCTGTGGTATATCGCGGAATTGTAGGCTTGAGGCTTCTCTGGGCCTCGACAGGGCAGTAGTCTACCTAAAGGCTCATACCCTGACGCCTTTTTCGAATATCTAGTTTTATGGTTAGGATCTGCTATCTAAAAAAGTAGGCGCCTTGAAAAAGGGTAGGGTATGAGCCTCTATAGGTAGGGTTTATGGGTTTATTGTTTCGGGTTTAGGGCTCAGGATTTGGGGGGTTTCGGATGAAGGTTCACGAAGGCTCTCGACAGCTCACCTGCTTGCTGACAGCTGCCGGTGCCCTGAACCCTAAAACGTAAACCCAACGATCCCGAACTCTACCTGGACCCTGCAAACCCTACCGCCTTCCAGACTTATACAGGAAAACCCTAGTAAGAAAACGCTTAGGGCGTTCAGGGTGTAGGGCAGTGTAGGGCTTGGGGCGTTTAGGGTTTATAGTTTCGTTATGCTTCGGTGGCTTTAGGGAGCCTTGCTTGGTAATAGTGCCGATACTGTTCCACAGGGCTCCCTTTGTCATTGTTGCCATACCATAAAATACCCCGACTGCTCCGATTGTCAAGGCCCCTACACCATGCTCTTGCTCAAAAGCCTCGACATGCGAATCCCGGCCGAAAACCTAAAGGGCCTGAAACCCTTAAACACTTGAAGCTCTTGAACCCCAAACCCTTAAATCCTCAATTCCCAAACCAAACCCGTAACCCTTCGGCCCCCAACCCCGAAATCGTTAAACCCCAAAGCCTAAGCTAGAGATCCTAACTACCCTCTAATATACCTTAAATACCCACGGCCTACCCACTATTAAGGGCCATAAGGGCTCCATCTTGGGGGATTCTGAAAGTGAGGGATCCTAAACCCATATCCCCCAAGCCCTAAACCCTAAACGCTAGGCCCTACACCCTTACACCCTTAAACCCCAAATCCTAGGTTGGAGATCCTAAATTCATAGATTATAACATGATATCTTTAATATTCTCTTTGGTTTTATCTGAACAAAAATTCTTTAATATTCTCTTTGGTTTTATATGAACAAAAATACACAAACAAAACTCATTCCTAGGGAGACTATAGCACTAAACCCGAAACCCTAGGCCCTGAACCCTACCCTAGGCCCTAAACCCTAAACCGATTCGGAAGAGATCCCAAAAGTTCCGAGCTCCGAACCCCAAGGAGGCGGTTCGCTTTGCCGCCCGCCTGCACTCCGAGCGGGAAACACGGGAAACAGCCCAGGCCGCAACCACAGCCCCAAGGGTCCAAAGGACTTATTAATAATAAGGTACTCAGTTTTAGGATAGTAGAATGTAGGTTAGGATTTCGGAGAGTATATGACTATTGGGTACTTGGACCCTTGGGGCAGGACCTCCGAAACAACAACTACGAACGAAGCCCAACGTGTTGCCAAAAGGGCACAAGTACCTAAGTGGTCGTTCGGGCGTAACGCTCTGTTATGTTATTCTTTTTCAAGGTCCGAATATTCGGGTACTTGGACCCTTAGGGTGGCACCTCGAGTGCAAGAATGTCGACGTCAACTCGCAAAGCCGGAGAAATGCGATGAACGCCATTCTACACCTTTAGCACTGAACGACACCCTCGACATCTCTGAACCCTAAACCCCCTACTCCTAAACCCCTAAACCCCTGAACCCCGAAACCCGAACCCCCTAAACCCCTAAACCTTAACCCCCAAAACCCCTAAACCCCTAAACCCTAACCCCTGGATCCCCTTAGCTGCGCTTCGAATTCCAGGGGAGGAGCTCGGGGCCTTCTGGGTTGCGCTTTAAACCCTTCGAAAAGTACTATAAGTTTTTTTTTTTTTTTTTACGCCTTTTTCCACCTGCCTGTTGGTCGGTAGAATCCACGTCGATAAGTTTAGGGTTTAGGGATTTATGAATAGGTTCTTATTAAAAATTATCCCAAAACACAACCCAGCCTTCATCTTGCGCTTCATGTCGATGGACTCCCTGGCTTTGGCCCACTGCCTTGTTCAAGGATGAGAGTGTAGGGTTTGGGGTTTAGGGCTTCGGGTTTAGGGTTTATGGTTTAGGGTTTGGGCTTTATGGTTTAGGGGTTCGGGTTCAAGGTCTAGGGCCTAGGGTTTATGGTTTCGGGTTTAGGGTTTAAATGGCTTCCAGGGTTTAGGGCTTATTATCTGGTTTAGGGGCTAGGGTGCAGGGCTTCTGGCTTAGGGTTTATGGTTTCGGGTTTAGGGTTTATAGGGCTTAGTGCTTATGGCTTACAGGGTTTAGGGCTTAGGGTTTATGGTTTATAGGGCTTAGGGTCAGAAAGGACTGTCTTGGGGATGGATTCATGATGGGCTTTTGGCTTGATAGGTCTTTCCTTCAGCCCAGAATCCCATTCAATGGACCCTATAGACCGTGAGTCCGAAAAACCGAAATCGTCACATTTTTATGGGCCTATTCTGCAGTCAAACCCTAAACCCCAAAACCACATACTCCTTCAGGGTTCCGCTAGTTGTTAAAAAACCCTTCCTGAAAATGGAACCGTCGATGGTTGGACACACAGGGTGGGGGCTCACGGATTGAGCCTACGACGCAACATGAGAAACATCCACAAAGCCCAGATAAAGACCTGAGGAACGTCCTGATAAGGCCTGTGCAAACCTTGGAAACCCCTTGCAACCAGGGCTTTCGGACGATTGCTGCTGACATCTTCCACAACTTAATTACTAAGGTCGCTGCAGCACGGTGTCGACAATTCCCATGTTGAAAAGCCTCAGGACACTTGGAGGACCAGGAGGACTTAGCAAGTGGGGTTCTACTTTGGCCTCGCAATAAACATGCTAGTAGAGATGCTTATACCTTCAGTTTTTGTTGCTCCCCCGATTTTAAGTAGGCTTTGTGTTGCAAGCCCGAATCGTGCTTCCGTAGGTGCTGGCTAGCCACTTATCATCTTACCAGACGGCTTCAATCGCCGCCTTCATTATCGGAGTCCCGATTTGGAATTTACTGGTCCGACCCCGGGAGTCGGAAAAGGAAACTTGTGCGCCTTAAACCCTACTTAAAGGGTCATGGAACTTAGCAACTAGAGTTATTATTAGGGTAGCTATATATACTTATAAGCCCAAATAGGGCGCTTATAACCTTATCTACTAAGTCCCATGATCCTTCAAGTTGCCCCTCTCCTTGAGGTCACCTTCAGGGATGCGAAGCTGCACGAGAAACCGCCCAATCGAGCACAGGCCACATTCCCAGAGCCTCCAAGACCCCTTAATTAAGGAATATACCTTAAAATCATATTAGGGGCCCGATTATAGTTTAAGGTATATTTCTTTAATTAAGGGGTTTTGGAGGCTCTGGGTTGCGTGAGAAGCAGCAGTCAAAGAGGATTGCCGGCCTTTTCTTCGGCTTTAGGGTTTAGGGTTTTAGGGTTTAGGGCTTTTGGCCCAGACCCTAAATACTGATGCTCCCCTGAAAGCCTTAAGCAGCCTCCCAAAAACTAAGGGCCTTAATCATTAGAATAAGGCTTGGGGGCCATTATACTATAAGTAGAAATTATTCAGGCCACCGAATATAGGACCCTATTATCGGTCCATTATAGACCCCTTAAGGATCCCTTTAAAGGGAACCCGAGATAATTATTGAGGCCGCTTTAGTAAACGGGGGCGAGCAGCTGCTTGATGGACTTGTCCTGAACTTCGCACTTGGACCCTGGGCGGCAGGTCGATTCACGGTTTAGGGTTTTATGTGCGGCAGCTGAGGCTGAGGGGTTCACTGCCCGCCTGTACTGACGGCATTCTGGTAACCTTGGTCCTACACCCGAAACCGCCCTAAGCCCGAACACCTTCAACCTTACCTGTACGATCAGACCCCTACCCCTGTTTGGGGTATCTACTTTTTCATAAAAAAGATCCGAAGTATAAAACGAGGTGCAGGGTATGAGCAACCCTAAACCCTAAACCGTGAACCCTAAACCCTAAACCGTGAACCCTAAACCCCAAACCCAGGTAGTATCCCAGCACTTAAAGCATCATGGCACTTAGTAACTAGAGTTATTATTAGGGTAACTATACTTACAACCCCAATTAGGGTACTTATAATAACCTTACTTACTTAGTCCCATGATCCTCCCTATAGAACTCCTTATAGAAACCCTATAGATCCCTTTAAGGAAGCCTTTAAGGAACCCTCAACAAGTTACTGAGTCCCATGATCCTCCCGGCAGGATCGCTGGGGAGGCTTGGCCCTTCAAGGCGCTGGGCTATTTCTGTTGCGGAAAAGCGGGGGGGGGGGCCCTATCCATCGAAGATAGGGGGATAGTTGGGGGTGTCTAAGTAGGTGTTAACGGTACATTATGTTATAACTATATATATATATATATATATGATATACATATATATATATAATATTATATGTGTATATATATATATATATGTACATATATGTATAAGCTATACGTCTACTTTGCGAAACGTTGTGTTGCACTTAGATACAGCCCGTTTCAATAAAATAGCCTTCTCTAGGCTCAAGAGCCTTGAAGACCAAGGCCTCAGAGCGACCCTGGCGTCGGACTGGACTTACCCTTGGTTAGTAGGGAATGGAAGAATGATAGTAATAGTAGTTATAATTATACCCCATTCCTCCATTCCCTACTAACCGAAGGTAAGTGGAAGGGGTCCAGTTCGGATGTTCGGGAGACAATGCCACACACTGGGGGTTTAGGGGTTCAGGGTTCTTGCGCAATCACCCTCAAAACCTAAATCCCTGCACCCCGCACAAAACATCTGAAGCCTCCAAGCTCGAAGTCGCACATGCTATTGCTGTCACGATACCGCTAGCAAAACTGTTTTAGAGCCCTTAATACAGACCCCAAAACCTGAATTAGCATACATCCTTAAAAGATAGAGACGAGGTGCCAAACTTGCTCTGCTTCAAGGTCATCGTCTCCTGCGCTGGGTTTCGGGCTTAGGGTTTAGGGGTTGAGGGGTTAGGGCTTGTTGGTGATACAAATCCTGCATTACCTTCAGGGCCCTAAACTATGGGAATTATGGTATATTCCTTAGTATGGGTCATGCAGGATTAATATAATCACCCGTAGCAGGCAGACAACATCGAGTCCTTTGTCTGGGAGTCGAAGGTGGGATTCACGACGAGGCAGTTCACAAACACCCAGAGGTGGGAACCTGCGTTGCCCGAGACAGTTCGCAGGGGGTTTGGGGTTTCGGGTATGGGAAGCCTCCACTACTGTTGATGGACAAAACCCTGCATGACCCTAAGGACTCTAGACCATGGGAACTATGGTATATTCCTTATAATGGGTAATGCAGGATTTTGTCCATCAACAGTAGGAGTTTGTTCGGAGTCTCCGGCTTTTTGGGAACTTTACACGCTCGATGCCCTGAACGGTGGATCCTGCGGCGGGACACTACCTATAGTTTCGTATTTCTGGGTTTGGGTAAGAATTTCGGGCATGGGGCTTGTGTTTTGGGTTTTGGGGCTTAGGGTTTTGGGCTTGGTGCTCACTGTTTTGTAATTCCTTTTTTTGGTTTAACCAATTTTATATTGAGGATCCTAAAAGGTAACCTGCAAAAGGAACTACAATGGAGACTATAGGTAGACCACTAGGCCTCCGTTCTCAATAGGAATTAGAAATCGGAATCGCTAAACAAACGAAACTAGACACAATCGGAAAAGAACATCCAACAGCGAATGACGATCCCTAACGGAAAAAGCCATACACAATGCAAAACCCTGTACCCTAAACCCTAAACCCTAACCATACACAATCCAAACTCATGTCAAAAAAGTAGCCCAGAACGCAGCAGCAATCCTCGACTCTTGGACCACAAATCCTTCACCAGGTTTAAGGAACCCTATAGATCCCTTTAAGGAACCCTATAGATCCCTTGGAGGAACCCGAAAGGCCCTATAGATCCCATTAAGGGCATGGAGCGTTCAGAAAGTGTGGGATAGCAGCCCCACGGACCTGAAAATCCAGGTAGCCTGAAATCCGGAGATCGCATCATTCCCGTACAAGCGAGCGCACTGGTAAAGTGGACCAATCACCGTATAAATGACTCAGAAACCACAGCAATCCGTGCATGGGTGAACATTACAGATAGGTGTGTTGAAACCAGGAAAGTAACAGGGGCCTGAAACATCAGAATGGAGTTTCAAGGTATATTATAACCAATGAAGGCCAAGGAACTTGAAGCAGTAGTTTTGGTACTGTAGGGGCTTTAATACTTGGAATAGGGTGCTGGGGTCCATGATACCAGTACTTATACTACAATCATAATGAGGACCCCCCCCCACAATAGTATTGGTAACTATTTAATTTAGGCACCTAAAGTAATTACTCAGCTCCTCAAACCCTAAACTATACTGAACTTAGAACCCTAGCAAAAAATATAATTTTAGCTGTCTCTTAGGGATTATAATAACCAAAAACTAAACATTATTTCTAAGTACCCCTAAGTAAACTCTAAACCGCGCTCTCGAGCGCCCCACGAACGTGGAACGGCTTGATCTCCTGGGGCCGCGCTGCGTTCAGGTGCGCTAGCAGGGTCTTCAGTGGAACCATACACAAGGGATTTTTAGGGCAAAGTTTAGGGTGTAGGGGTTTGAGGTTTGTGCATATGTGTATGTATATATGTAATGTGATATGTACATATATACATATATACGTATATATATATATATATATATATATATATATATATGTATGTATATCTATATATATATATATATGTATATAGATATATGCAATTATATAACGTCCAGATAGATAGACAGATGGATAGACAGATGGCTAGATGGATAGATTGCTATTTATTTAAGGTAGACAGGTACCTGCACAGATAAGCAGATGGAAAGAAAGACAGATGGACAGGTGCCTTGATAATTAGAAGAGGGTTTTGGGGCCCATTATACTAACTATAAGTAAAATGAGGAATCCCCAAATTGGTTTAGGTATTTTCAGGCTCCTTTATTAGATAGATTGAAACATGCGTCGACACGTTATAAAAGCTGCCTTCAATGCCTACCGCACGACTCGAAAGTCCTTCACGTAAAAATCCAAGGAATATTTCGCCAAATTCTTTCAGGTTCCTGAACAACATCTTTAGTTAAGTGGAGACGGTTTCTGATTACTAAGATCGCAGTGAGCCCGAAGCGCCCGAGGTAGAAGCGTTTAAGTTTTAAATGATGCGCCATAGGCCTGAAGTCATGAATGAACAGTGGTAGTGAGCCCCTGCCTTTCGGTAACATGAAGGAACCCGAAAGACTGGGTTTGGGTTTAGGGTTTAGGGTATAGGGTTTAGGCCCTACATGAGGAGCTCCTGCAACGTCAAACTTCTACCTTCCTATTCCTGGCTTTCGGAACCAATCAAATACCCTTGCTACAGTGGTATAACACTCCAAACGAAAACGAGTGCAGCAGTACCTGGCTTCATGGACATGCCTAATACAGACGTCCGTCAGGGTATAGTGTCATTAGCCGAGCTACCATTCCACCACGATTCTTCTTGTTCACCTTGTCGAGGATGGAATCCTTGACAGCAAGAACATCAAATCCTGTAGACGATGTGAACAAGAAGCCCGATGCGGTGCCAACGTTGCCCCACGACGAACCCAACACGAAGGCTCGGACCAACCAACTCCCAAACAATAAAACTGACTACCCTAAGGCCTAAGCCCAAAGCCCTAAAGCCTAAACCCTGAAACCCTAACCTGCAGAGTTTTGGGGAGATTGGATGATGTACGGCGCCGGCAAGCTTCATCAAACACGAGCCAAGGGATCGAACTGCCATTTGTATCATACATTATGTTGTTTTCATGCTGTATTGTATATTATGTTGTGCTATGTTACATATTATATTATGTAACTGTAAAAAATCTACGCCCTGGAAGCCCAAATAATAAGGCTTAGGGTGCGTCGGCTTAGGCTGCGTGGGACCTTTCCACGTACCCAAGGCGCCGCGAGCCGAGAGCCCGCCAACAATTCGACCGAAAACGCTACAACGCCCTACCCTGCGCCCTCGGGTTAGAAGATTCTTGGCTGGAGCAGCGTATATCATGGACCTTGCTATTTGGGGTGTCGATTTGTCTTTCCTCGCCCAGCTGAGGCAGGATCCACAAACTGGTCCGTCACGTGTGACACGTGAGTTCCACCTGTCAGGACTATCAACCTCATAGAAAAACAGATCTTAGGGTCAACTCTGTACAAAATTGTCAGAATCCCTGGCTGCGGTCTTTACATGGCCCTAAACCCTAAACCCTAAACCGATTACATGGTCCGGCCGGGAAACTTTACAGCTAGCCGTACTCTCCAAGCACATGAGCCCCAACACCAAGGCCCAGGATCCGCGCCCATGATGCTAAAACCCGTAAACATCCAGAAGGTTGATGATATAAATCCCTGCATTCACCATAATAAGGAAGACACCATTATTCCCATAGCCTAGGTTCCTTAAAGCTCATGCAGGATTCTTATCACCAGCAGTATTAAAGGAACACTGTTCAGGTGTATAAAAGTTCGAGGTTAGGGGATTAAAGGCTTCAGGGCTTGAGGGCTTAGGAGGAACCTGAACTCTGAACCCTAAACTCACAAGAACCTGAGTTCAAGTCCTGGAAGCACCGGGCAGTTCCATGGCTTTCGCTTAGTGTGCTCATCAGTTCTGCACCCCTACAATTTAAACTGAAAACGTGTTCTCACAATCATTTTTCCTTATTCCGATCCTGAAGCGCCACGTGAAAATGGTGCCTAACCTCTTCACTTTGAAAGCTCGCCATTCCTCCATGATTCGCATTTCCAAAGTCAGACCCTGAACAATACGCGAGAATTATTGTAGGAGCTGAAGCGAAGATTGTTTGAGGCTGGAGTCTCGAATTGTTCGATAGGAGTCTTCAGGGGGCCCTATCCTTTCAAGGGCCAAAACATCGCCGCAGCCTTTGATGGTGTTGATCGAGTTCACGAAGGATACCTTGCGATTCTGAAGCAATCTGGGGCAGAGCCGTCAGCGGCTGAGGACTAAACACATGGTATTGAGGCGTTAGCCTTAGCAACTAGAATAGTGTTCTGCAGTATCCTATAAGAAAAACTAGTGATACGTATTCCCACCACATATTGTCGCGGCGATTGTGCAAGGTGTTGTGCTTAGGAAACTCTCGGCCGCAGTAGTTTATCTAGGACCTGAGGCAGCAACTTTCCCGTCTCGTCTCCACTCCTCTGAAGCAGCCACAAACATGCCCATACTGCGTGCTGCCAGTTGCCTATCCATCCAGAAACTTTGCTGATGCATCGTTGCCTCTGTCTCTCTCCACGACTCCCCACAGGATAATGAAATCAACTCAGAACCTCAAGCTCTCCGCCGGCCGTTGCAAAACCGGAAAATTCAAAACAACCTCAGAAGAATCTGCAGAATCCCAAAGCTCTCAAGCATAGTGAACCCTGAATACCGACCCCGTAAAATCCACCCTATACCCTAAACCACAACTTTGAAACCCCAATCCTGGAGCCCTATTCTCTAAAGTTTTTGAAGACCCCAGCCCCCAAACCCTCTGTACCCAAGCCCCAAACCCCTACAGCCTGGAACTTCCAAAACCAGTTCACAAGCATAGTTGGGGGTCCAGGTAGGCTTTAGGCGTTTAGCGGTATGGGATGTTATGGGCGTTAAGCTTTGGGAGTTTAAGGGGTCCCCAAAGCCCCAAAACTGCAAAAAAGTAAACTCTAGGGGGCCCAAAAGCTTAACTTAGGAAGGTTCAGAATCAAAACATCAAAAATAAAGATGATGATCATAACCTTTTCTGTATATTCTACTAGAAGTTTAAAACTGCAACCTAAGGTATAGAAGAGCCATTCTTCAGGCTTCTAGACCAAGCCCTCATGACACCGATTATTGCAACCCTGATCTAAGTATGTATGTATGTATGTACGTTTGCATGTGTGTGTGTGGGGATACATGTGTATATGTATGTATATATATATATATATATGCATATAACCCTTAACGGCTCCTATTGCCCATGGTCTTTACCTCGTGAGTTCTGGAAGCCGCCTGCTGGAACTGGCCCTCGGAAGTCGTCACGACGTATTCCCAGCCTGCGGCAGGTTTAGGGTTCAGGTGCTTTGGGTTAGGGTTTAGGGTTCCGGGTTTAGGGTTCAGGTGGTTTGGGTTAGGGTTCCGGGTTTAGGGTTTAGGGTTGTGTCCGGGTTTAGGGTTCGGTTTAGTGTGTTAGGGTTTAGGGCATTGTTTTTTTTGTCTTTGGGTTAGGGTTCCAGGTTTGGGGTTCGGGGGTCTAGGGGAACGGTGTGGGGTTCAGGGGTTGGGTTTCGGGTCAACAGGCTTAGAGCTTGGGGTCTATATGGTTATATGGTCGTATCGGGGATCAGTGATAAGGGTTGAAGGGAAAACGGTTTGGGCATAGAGTTCAGGAGAGGATCTAGGGTTTGAAGGCTTTGGGTTTCAGGGCGCGGCGCTATTGTGCCTGAATCTATGGGTGTTGAACGGATTTCTTCAATCCAGTCCAAACCCTACAGAACAACTCTTCGACCCAAACTAACCTCAATCCTCTCAATAGCCCCTTGGGTCATTAAACTCACAACAGACACGAAAACGGATTCCTAAACCAAGCCCTAAACCCTAATCCCAAAGCCCTAAACCCTAAACCCTAACAGCAAAACCTAGCTCTCTGAGCAGCCGGCGGTCCCCAAACTTGTCGTAGACGCGCGGCTGATCCTGTGAAGGTCTGGTACCAGTTTGGGGTTCGGGGCTTTAAGGGGGTTTAGGGTTCAGGAGGACCCCCGACTGCCCCTTAATAGAACCCTGGTGGTGCTTCATATATAGTGGGTATGGAAGGTGTATTAGTGGGAAGTTGGAGGGTCTAGGTAGGAATAGGGTTAGTAGCGTGCCAGGCTCTAAAGGTTGTTTAGGTGTAGTCCCAGCCGTTCTAGCCTATGGGCTTCAGTTTCAAGTTCTGTCTTGGCGACAGACTATTTCATTGAGCTCTGGATGCTCCAATGTGGTTGAAGACTGCAGTGACATAGTAGCCACCCAGCTGCAAGAGCAGCTGCTCTTCCATGAGACCCCCGGGGGGGCTGAGACGAAGCTCAACAAGTCAAAGTTGCTCTTCTGCTGCTGAGCGGTCTTCAAGAAGCCTTCGATGCACTCTTGCATATCCGATACTCCCAGGAAGGGGTCTGCCACCACCCGGAGCTTCGCCGTTTCCTGCTGAGCTCTGGGGATTCAAGGCCACGCCTATAGGCATAAACCGAAGCCCTAGGCCTGATTCCTACACCCTGAGCTCTGTATTCATCGTGCCAACGGATCTTCCCCTCTGATGTCTCATCCCGAATGACGTCGCAAGGCTGGGGCCATCCAGGAACCACTCGAGATTGACTCGATTTTGACTCCGAGTTTGTACTTTGTACAAATAACCCGACCGGCGATCCCGTGGCACTGCACTGAAAGAAGCGAAAGCACAACCCAACTGCCGGGAAAGCCCAAGCAAACCCTTCTAAATCTTGCCTGCACCCTAAACCCTAAGTGGGGACTTGTGGGTTTAGGGTTTAGACTATACAATACTGTACTGTACTGTATTGAAATAGGGCGTACTACACTATACTACTATACTAATACTTCACTGTACGATACTGCACTATTACTAATACGAATACCAAGGGTTACCAATACACCTTGTCCAAGGCTCCACCTTAAGAGATTGCTGCTCTCAGGGGTGGCTGGATGCGTCGGCAACGACTTTAGGGTTTATGGTTCTAGGCCTCAGGCCACGAAGAGGAAACCTCAATCGCCACCTGACCATTACTCAAGCGCACAAGAACGGTATGTGCAAAAACACCTACAAACAGAACAGGGAGTTGCGGTGTATGGGTTTATAGGGCTTTAAGGCCTATAAGGGCTTAGAGGTTTGGGGTCGATCGCTCGCGTGGCAGGCAGCCTTCTCGAAGTAGAGCTCCGCATAATCCTTTAGGCGGGTGGGGTGAGGTGTTTAGGGCCCACGGGTGCAGGGCCTGGCTTGAGCATGGGGTGATGGGCTTTTCTTGTTAGGGCGGAAGAACAGTGGGGAAAGTGAGGCTCGAATCCTTACCTTCAGTTCCGCGCTTGTTTTTGGTTTCGGGTTTAACTCATAGGGGCCTTAATAATTAGAGGAGGGGTTTTGGGGCCCATTATACTGCAATTATAATAAGGAACCACCAAAATGGTATAGGCAATTATCTAGGCCCCTATAGTAGGGTTCAGGGGTGGCTTGGATAAGGAAGCCAGCCTGCCAAAGCCCTTGAAACCAAAGACCGTCTCTGTGGGATCGGGGGACTTCGTGTGTCGGGCTCAAGACTCGGGTAAAGAGTAGGGTTTCGGATCCAGCAGAGGAGGCTGGTAGGTATGTGTGCTGACTGTCGTACTACCACATAGTTGGATCATAAAATCACAAGGGATCTGGGTGATTTGCGAAACAGTACTGTGGCAGCGGATTTGTGGCAGCTCTTAAACAAGGCACTACAGCGAGAACAAGAAGGATGTCTAGCGTGAGCACAGCTGCCATCACTTGGCATCGTGTTTCGTCAATCCTGATGCCGTGACGCCTAAACGCTAAAGCCCCAAAAGTGCGAGGTTTCCACTTCGCAGGGGCAGATCGATGAGTGCCGTTGTGCGCGAGCACATGCCGGTACCGCAAGACCTTGAACCCTGCACAAGCTCGGGTTTACCATGTATCAACTCCCGTGCAGTGCTCCTTGGACAAGATGGGGACCTTAATAAGTAGAAGGGGATCTATTGGGCATTGTGTAGTATAACTCGATACCGATTACAAGGGCATGTTCTTCCTGTTTGTTGTGGGGGGAGGGGGCCGAACAAACTCAATGTCTTACTGATATGTTGTTCGATTTGGGATAATTAAGTACCTTGTTCGCTTTAATCGGATGCCAAAGTCAAGTCGGAAACTTGTCGTTGTTAACTTGTCCCGTTTGTCGGCCGTGCCTTGAACTCTTTCACCGCGACCGGGCTGTCATTCAGAAATACGCGGCACCTTGGCGGCTAAATCCTCGAACCCGACTTTCTGAAAATGACGCTCGGCGGAAAACATTCGGAAGTTTGAAAGAAGAAACAAAAGACGAAGACAGCCATAGCCAATGCCTTGAAATACTCCTAGCCCCGGGGAATTGGGCGATTAGGTCACAAAGGACCTGCCGGACCATCAGCCTCAATGCCCTAAATCTCTACTTGCATGTGCGTGTATGTATGTGTATATATATATATATACACACGACTTTTATGTATGCAATGTGTATAAACGAATACCAAAAACGCATATATTACATTTGCGAAAAGATTCAAACCTTATACAGCTCAATCTCAAGCCCTATGGCCCTATGTGATTAAACACCAGCTAACGGCCAAAAAGGCCAACGGTCCTCACCGAATCCCCAATTTCCTATGTGTGTCACGTCGATGCAACCCTCCAAACTGCAAAGCTTTCGGTTGTAGAACGAACAGACCCACCTCTGTTCCAGCACCTTCAAAAAAAAGGCTTCATTCTCTTATACCAAAGTCCCACCCTGTAAGTTCTGTCAGCATCAAAATAGCGCAGAATCTTGAACCACCTAAACCCATAACCCGTTTAGGGCGTTCGGTTTAGGACCCTGAAGGCCCAAAGCCTCAAGTTTCCAACCCCTCAACTCTCTGTAGCCCTCCCCTGTTGAAAGCGCGCAGCTTCTTGTCTGTCGATCCGCCGGCATCCTGCTTGGAGGTTCATGGGCTTAGGGTTTAGCATTTGGGGTTTAGGGTTTACCTGGACCCTACAAAACCTTCCTGTTCAGGGTTCCTGATTATGATTTCCTTATCTGAGTCCTGAAGATAAGTTGGTAAATAGGGGTCTGGGTAGGGTGAGGGGGCAGCACGACGTGGGATTATGGATCCCCTGAAATGGGTTATAGCTGTGGTTATCCTACTTATAACCCACTTGTAATCAACTACCCCTGAAACCTCCAAGTACTCGTTGAAAGGCAGAGGCTAAATCGATCTTTTCTGAGAGCTTGTGGTGAATGGTTTACCCCTTAGGGGCCGAGTATCCACAGTCGGGATCAATTAACGCCCCGAATACTACAGCCTTCGTTTAGGGTTTCAGCCCTAAAATCTCAACAGCCCAGAACCCTGACACTTACAGCCCAAACTCGACAAGCCTTTAGTCCTTACGCCCTAAGCCTTGTTGGTAGCCTGATGAAACTGATATGATCCGAACCAGTAAATTGTACCCTCCATGAAGATGGCGGCACACAACATCTCCAAACTCAGATGTATGGTTTACCTTAACCCTGAATGCCCTACCCTTTCAGGGCTCCTTATTATGCATTCCTTATATAAGTCCTTAGAAAGGTAGGTTATTCCGGGTTAAGGTAGGGTTCATGGTGGTTTAATGTAGGCACCTGATTAAGAAACCTTGGGCCTTTATTAGGGTTCCTTATATGAACCCTACTATTTTGGGGTTATAGGCCCAGGGTTTCTTAATCAGGTTCCTACATTAGGTGCTTTTTTAGGATTGTAGTTTCAGGTTTCAGGGGTGCCAGACTCCAACTTCACACCGCAGGTCTCTGGTGGGAGCTTGTGGCGGGAGGGAGGGGGGGAGAAGGGTTGTGAGATACGGGCTCAGGGCTATCGACCTTCGGGTGTTGGGGATTATGTGTGGAGAAGGATTGAAGAAAGTCGACCCACGAAATGGATTTCATGGAAGGCTGTCCATGACGCGCTTCTTCATGAGCGCCACCACATCCTGGCATAGGTGTGAGTACAGCTAACTGACTATGAGAGCTGGCTTCGAATATGCGAAACCCACTAACATAGGCGCTTAAGGCGCCTTAATCATTAGAAAGGGCTTTGGGGCTCCTGTAGAACTATACTAAGAAGCCCTGAGGAATGATACTGGGAATTACTTCGGCTTATAGATTAAACACCCAGAAATCATAAACCGAGAGTCAAGCCTCTAGGTTTCCAGCGATTTCTCAGTCGTGGGGTTTTGGAGTTCAGGGCTTTTTTCCGCGTTCTGTTTGGGGTAGAGACTCCAAACAGAAGAGTAGACTTTCACTAACAGGGTTTAGAAAGGATCCTGCTTTGTGGTTAAGAATGTAGCCGAAGTTCGCCGAAAAGGAGACGTCAAGGGCCTGCGGATGTCTTCCTTCGACGCAGGGTGCTCAGGGTTTGAGGCTTGCGGGTTCAGGGGTTACGAACCAGCCGAAGCCGGGTGTATTTGCTCAACAGCGGAATGCCCCACTAAGCCATAGTGCATTACCCATAAGAAGGAATATACCATAGTTCCCACAGTTGAGGGTCCTTAAGGTACTGCAGGATTTCTATCATCAACCGCAGTAGGCCCAAGACCTCCCATAGAAACCCTGTGTGTTCTCTACAGGTACTTCAGACCCTTTGGGAAGTTCCATGTTCTGTATGCTATGCCGATAGACGTCAGTTTTGGAATTGCAAGTAAGCAAGTAATCCCTACCTGGACCTTAAAGAACCTTCCTTTTTAGGGTTCCCTAATATGATTTCCTTATATAAGTCCTCAAAAAGGTAGGTTCGTCAGGGTCAAGGTATAGCCTGAACAAAAGAGGTCAGATCACAAGCACGTGCAGTGTAAGATAGGGGCATCAACAGTTCGATTTGGGGTAGTTGCACCAGGGACAACCAGTAGGTGCACAGAATAGTACTACTTTTCCAGATGTTCCGGCATGTCATCTGGAATACTATGGATTCCTTTCGAGCTCCTCTCTGTGCACGGTGGAACATGGTTAAACGGTTAAACCTTACTGATGATTGTAACGTGCTAGAACCCAAACACTAAATCGAAACCCTCAACCACCCCTAAACCCGTAAACCCGTAAACCCTGAAACCCAAACCCTGAAACCCTAAACCCTGAAACCCTAAACCCTTCAGGGCATAGGTTTGGGTTTGGGGTTTAAGGTTGGGCAACACCCAGAGCGGATGAGACGGATGCGACTTGAAAACGGGTGCCTGGTCAAGCTTGGACATGCCGAATCGCTTGAGGTCTGGATAGAAGGTCACTTTCGTGAAGTCCTGCAGTCAGGTCTCAGGGTTTAGTGGCTCTCCACCTAGATCAAACTAACACAGGTACACAGAACAAACAGGGCACACGCACATTTGAGGTCATATCCTTCTCTCAAAGGAACATTGTCTACGCTCAGTACTATACCCCCCTTAGAACCATGATCAAAATACCGTTTCTAAAATTCTCTTGGGTTTTGTATGAACAAAAAAATCAAAAAAATCCTAAGGAGACTATAGAGTAGAGCTTATACCCCCCCTTGCGCGAAAATGCCTCAATGCTGAACCGAACTACCTTGGAGGCCCGACATATTTGGTTTGTAACAGATTTCTTCAAAGCATATTTAGAAGATCAGCTGTGGAAGGTACAAGGCTCAGGGTCTTCGGGCTTCCACGGCCTAGTGCGTCTTGAAGATCAAGTCGAGATTTAGGGTTTCAGGGCTTCAGGGCCCTGCAGCTTGCAAGTATAGGGCTCCTAGACCCTCAGGCTTAAAGGGAACTCCAGAAAGTTGGAATATGGTTTCAGAGTAGGATACCCTATAATATACCATAAAGGGTTTAGGATATTCATATTCCAACTTTCTGGCTTTTACTTTAGGAACTCACAACCCGACGTTGGATGGAGGCTTCGAAGACTGAGGTTCCGTCATCAGGGTGCCCTAGTTTTGTGCTACTGGTTTTTGTTGAGTTGTAGCAGTATAAGGTTTCCAAAAGAAGTAGATTCCCAGTATCCCCTTCATGATAAGGATTCACTCGGTATAGTTGTTAATCACACCCATAGTAGAAAGGTCAACGACTTCTGCTGGGGACCAAGACATGCGCAGGCCATATGGGGTTTTAGTTTTAAACTTTGCAGTTTACGGTAAAAGCCAGAAAGTTGGAATATCATTATCGTAACCCCATAAAAGGCAAATTATAGGGGATCCTACCATTAATCCATATTCCAACTTTCTGGAGTTCCCTTTAATGCGTAAGCACGATCCTTGCAGCCCCATCTCGCGCCTTGCCGGAGTACTTCGTAATAGAGGCTTTTCCTTTCTCCTCGATCCGAAAATACATCAGGGTACGGCAGGGTAGGGTAGGGTAGGGTAGGGTAGGCAGGCTTCAAGCTTCGAAGGCACCGGATTTAGGGGTATCGGATATGGGTTTCGGGGTTTGTCAACTGGTAAAAGGAAAATGAGCGACACCCCGTGCTAGAGGCGTCTTTTGCCGCCTCGGGCCCCCCCTAGTTTCGATAGAACTGCTCTTGACCAAAGCCCGCGGTGGCGGGTATGCCAGGTCTTGTCAGCCTAGTTCATGCCTGGCTGGGGTTTTGGGTTTGGCGCTTAGGGCTTAGAGATTTAAACCCTATTCAAGCCTAGTATAGGAAACCCTAAACCGTAAATCACCAAACCCCGAACCCTAAACCGCTTAGGGTACATATATATATATATATATATTTATTGATTTATTTATAATATATATATATATATATATATTCCAAGGGTCTTTGGGCTCTCCGAGGCCGATTTCGGATCCGGGGTTCGGGACTTCGAATGCCTGGCTGAAGCTTAGAGTCTTGGAGTTGACGGTTCTTACCTTTGGTTAGTAGGGTAGGGTCTCATAATGGAATCTATAGGGCTCCTTAAAGGGATCTATAGGGCTCCTTAAAGGGATCTATAGGGGTTCTTTATAATGGGATCTTTCGGGGGGTAGTCTTACCTGTGGTTAGTAAGGAATGGAAGGGGCCTTATAACAGGGTCTATAAGGGTTACTATAAGGGACCTATAAGGGTACTATCATGTAGGGGCCTTAACAATCCTATAACTTACCTTTGGTTAAACAGTAGGGAATGGAAGACTGGTAGTAATAGTAGTTATAATCGTACGCCATTCCTCCATTCCCTACTAACAAAAGGTAAGGGTTTGGAAGGGGCAGCTTGGGTTTGGCCTTCCTGTAAGGTTTATAGGGTTTAGGGTTTGGGATCAATGGTTGACGGCCGTTTACGTTTAAGATTCAGGCAGGTCCGGGGCAGGCTTCATGCGATCCTGGATTTCCGTGCCGGTCTGCTTTCAGGTAGCGCTGGACTTGGAGGATCATGGAACTTAGTAAGCATGGTCAGAAGTACCCTAATTGGGGTTATAAGTAGTTCTAAGGAAGAAGCATGTTTGCCCTAATATTATATCATATCCCTAGCTACTAATTCCCATGATCCTTTCACTGGACTTGGACCCTCTGCCCCGCAGAGCGCTGTCTCTTCCCAGAGCCAATCTCTTCTTCGCACCCACAGCCACGGCGACCTCGACCTCCTCGGAAGATGATCGTGGCTGGCCTCCCAACTGCGTCTGCTCCTCCTCTTGGGCCCTGGCCTCCTTTCAATGCGGTTTCCGCCTTCTTCGGAGGGCAGTAAGAATAGCGTGAAAAAAGCTGCCAACCTGTTCAACGTCTTCCCCTTTCCGACAACTGCAACACTAACCATGAGTGAGCAACGGAACTTTCTTTTTTGGTTCAGGTTGCTATGTAGAACTCAAGTAAAGCCAATCGCTACCATCAAAATTGAAACTCCTCAGCTCCCCAAACCTTAACGCCATCAACATACCTCGATCTTGCACCATGGAATGCCTAGAATTGCCTGAAACCCTTTGGGGAACAGTTGGGATGATTCCAGAACCAGTGGCATGCGGTTGTTTTGCGGCACTACACCACAACTGCAAGGATGCTTTCATGCTCATTCAGAAGACTTGTTCTTTGGGAGTTGGGGTGTAATACCTTGGAGGTTGGCACCGTTTATAATGTCGTTTACCCTGGGTTCTTGTTAAGGGATGTTAAGGGATTTCATTTAAAGTACCATAATAAGGAAACCATATTATCTACAATAGATCCCGATTATGGTAGCTGAAATGAATCCCTTAAATCCCTGAACAAGAACTCAGTTACGGAGTGGCTGCTGCACACGAAGTGGCCTGCATATTCTTCTCCCAGGTCTGGACATATTTCTGCCCTCGCTTGCCGTCGCCACATTCGATGACCTGGCGAACAGTCGGCACAGAACCTCAAATAACATCTGGAAGACTGTCTATATGCATGTGTGCAAATACATGTACATGGATACATACTGAGGGAGAGAGCGAGCCAGAGAGAGATAGATAGATAGAGAGAGAGAGAGTGTGTGTGTGTGTGTCAAAGCAGCGGCTGTTCGGGATCGGAAGCATCTTCTGTTCAAGGACCACAGATCGGGGAGGATCGACGTGTCCAGAAACATGCAAGACCTTTATACAATCCCTGCCTGCCCCATCTCAGTGCCGACACCTAAAGGAATGCCCTAAACCTATGCCTTAAAGCCTGAATGCCCTAAACCTATGCCTTAAAGCCTGAAGCCTAAACAGCACACCCCAAGACCCAGTCCCGATCCTGAACCACCGAAGCCTTCCAACTATAAACCCTAGATCTAAAGCCCTTTTAGGAACTATCCACCCTTAAACCCCGAACCCTAAACCTAAACCGTCACAACTCGGGCAAGGGGACAAACTTGGTTGAGAAGATGTTCGTCAGCTTCGCACCGTAGCCGTTCCGTCCGCCAGTCACCTCCAGGCAAGCCCTAAGGGTCCAAGTACCTATAAGGATTTGACATCGTGTGTGTATATATATATATATGTACATACATTCACACATCTGAACACCGTAACAAGAAAACATCTGGGGTTACTTTGGAAGATGGCCAAAGTATGCACGAAAACATCTTTATGGCCTTGGTGAATTCAGTTCTGTGCCGGTGGCCTAGGCTAAAACCTTTCTTAGTAAGGCTCAGGGTTGCAGGGTCTACAACAAAATTCCATCGGTTTCGTTCCATACTTCCTATTGCCTACTAAACACCTAATATACAGTTGCATTTGGTCCAGGCAGTGTAAGGCGCAGGATATATTGGCGGCTGTCCAAACTCTTGTCGCAGTGTTTGGAAAAGAATCTATAGGGTTCCCCGAAAGGGACCATGATTTTGACAGTTACCCATATAACGCAGGGTTCAGGATGGGCTAGAGCGGGGTGCTGGCAGGGCACTTCTTCATGTCACCATGCCATCTCGAAGCCAAAGCAATTGGCACAGGGTTTCGGGTAGATTATGTGCATAGCTACTCAGTGACTATAAGGGGGTAGTTAGCCGTTCCTGATTATTCAAACCCATCTTACCCTACACCTAGACCCTGACTTGTGGTACTCTTGCAGAGGTATCTTAATTATCGTGTCTTGTAGGATCCTAACAATAGATTAACTACACCCCGAATCAAATATGCATACCGACAAACACACACACACACAAACACAAACACAACAAAAAACACAAAGATACGATAAGCAAGTAAGGGAACCAAGGATTTCGTCCATCGAAGGTGTCGAAGGTGGGGTCTGTAGCGATGTTTACAACCATCAAAGCGGAATTCCCAAACCTCCCAAGGTTTAGGGTTCAGGGTCTGAGCTAAACCCCGCAGAGGCCAGATCCTGTACCTTAGGCTCTGAAACCGGAACCCTCACAGTAGCGGCTCCATGACACCCTATACCCCAAACCTTAACACTCCCAAACCCTGAACTCCAAGTCCAACACCTCAACCCCAAATCCTAACCTTGAGGCCCTGAACCTTTCGGAAGGTTCCTTGCACCCGAAAACCTTATTTGGCGCTCCTTGTTCTCATCATCGTCGTAGTTGTCGCTGGTCAAGAGGTGACCGAAGACCTACAGTGAAGTACCGGGGCGTTGAGAATAAGACAAGGGTTGTGTAGGCAACCCTAGGGAATCATGCGAGTATAGTTCAAGCCCCTGATCTGTTGGGGTTTAAGATTAGCGCTCCTGGTTTGAGGATAAGGTCTCGGGCCTCAAGGCGAATGCGGCATTGGGTTGAGTTTTTGAGGGTTAGGGTTGAGGGTGCAGGATCCAGGGATATATGGTTTAGGCTTGAAGTTTGGGAGTTCAGCTTCCACGGTAGTTAATGATGGATGATGCTTTTTGGGTTTGGATTTTAGGTTTTAGGGTATTGCTATCAGGGTTTCTGCTTTGCAGATTGCAGGCTTTAGCGCGGAGGGTCGGATCTTCGGAGCCTGGAAAGTTTGCGGCTTAGGGTTCCGACTGGGTGACCTTACATTGCAAGTCCTATGCCGATGTTAAAAGCCCTTGCAAACTTGAAGATTCGTTGACACTCGGACACTCGGTGAACCTTGGGTTGCAAGTCCATACGCCAATGTTAACAGCCTCTGCAAACTTGCAGATTCATGGAATGAGCCCTAAACCCTAAACCCTGAACCTTGAAGATTCATGGAAGGGCGCGATCGACATGCATAGCATGCCCAGAGCTGAGCTCTGGACCATTTCTGGCACGTGCATCTTGTGCTCCTCTTCAAGCTGCGGCTTATCGTCTACTTAAAGGATCATGGGACCCCCAATTAGGGTACTTATAACCTTACTTACTAAGTCCCATGATCCTCCAAGCCAAGTAGGGTTTTGCCCGCAAGTCTCAGTAGGGCCCCAAAAAAGCACATAGGCAAAAACTAGGATAGGGATCCCCCATATACACCCCCTTATAATGGAGCCCAGTAAGGTAGGGATATCCCATAAACTGCTTATGCTTATCTGCTTTTCTGGGTCCCTACTCAGGGCCTGATGGGAGCTCCCATCCTACTGCCGCTACGGTACGTAACGAAGGCTCTGCAAAGTTGAACCTCGAGACTACCCATATCATTGCCCCTTTGCACCGAACCAGAACCACAAGGTTTAGATCCACAGGGCTTTTTCGACAGAGTTGGCTTTTAAAGACGTTTACAGACTTTTAAAAACTTTCAAATGCAAGAAAAAACATTCTAAAAACTTTTAGAAGACTTTAAAAGACTTTTAGAAACTTTTAGAAGACTTTTGCAAACTTTAAAAGACTTTTCAAAACTTTAAAAGGCTTTTAAAATATTTAAAAGACTTTTAAAAACATTAAAATACATTTAAAAGCTTTAAAAATACTTTAAAAGACTTTTAAACGCTTTTAAAAGCTTTTACAAACTTTAAAAAGAATTTGAAAGACTTTTAAAGACTTTAAACAACTTTTAAAAATTTTTAAAAACTTTAAAACAAAAAACTAATGTTTTTTCCGAGAAGACGAGGATGAAGAAGACCTGGCACAGGGTTTACAGTTTCAGGGTCTTTAGGGTTTGGGGTTAAGAAGGCAGAGTGCCATAGTATTAGGGGTTTGAGGGTAATGAAAGGGTTAGGGTTAGAGTTTCAGGGTCTTTATTATATTTAGGGTTTGGGGTTAGAAGGCAGAGTGCCATAGTATTAGGGGTTTGAGGGTAATGAAAGGGTTAGGGTTAGAGTTTCAGGGTCTTTATTATATTTAGGGTTTGGGGTTAGAAGGCAGAGTGCCATAGTATTAGGGGTTTGAGGGTAATGAAAGGGTTAGGGTTAGAGTTTCAGGGTCTTTAGTATATTTAGGGTTTGGGGTTAGAAGGCAGAGTGCCATAGTATTAGGGGTTTGAGGGTAATGAAAGGGTTAGGGTTAGAGTTTCAGGGTCTTTAGTATTTAGGGTTTGGGGTTAGCAGGCAGAGTGCCATAGTGTTAGGGTTTGAGGGTAATGAAAGGGTTAGGGTTAGAGTTTCAGGGTCTTTAGTATATTTAGGGTTTGGGGTTAGAAGGCAGAGTGCCATAGTATTAGGGGTTTGAGGGTAATGAAAGGGTTAGGGTTAGAGTTTCAGGGTCTTTAGTATATTTAGGGTTTGGGGTTAGGAGGCAGAGTGCCATAGTGTTAGGGTTTGAGGGTAATGAAAGGGTTAGGGTTAGAGTTTCAGGGTCTTTAGTATTTAGGGTTTGGGGCTAGAAGGCAGAGTGCCATAGTTTTAGGGTTTGATAGTATTAGGGATGCACAAATCGCGTGAAGTGGCTACGAACTGCTGGATGTTGCGCTTTTCTGCGTTGACCACACTGTCAAGCGAATCACGTGCAGGCGAAGCAGGGTACAGCTGGGTGACGCGACAACGTCTGGCACTCTGCCTTCCCAGCTGCTGGCACTCTGCCTTCCCGCCTCAAGATCCATTAATTATTGCCACCCCAACTTTGCACAAAGCTGGTCGGTCAAAGGTATTGCTCCAGCATCAAGGTCAGGAAGTTCCCCCGGACCACCGAGACGGATGGCAACAAGTGAGAGGTGTTTCATCTGAAGGACAAACTGCCGTTGTTGTTCATCTTCGTCGTTCCAAACATAAACAAAATCACAAACGAGAGAAACGCGCGGCAACTCCAGCGGTTCTTCTCCTTCACCCACCTGATAACACTTCGGGAAGGGGCCTTGGTACCGTCGAAGAAGCCTGAGGCCTCCTGTAATGCGGGAGCCAATACGTGGCCAGTAACGCAGGTAGCGAACCATGATTTCCCAAGGCACGTCGTCATAAACTTCATTCCATCTCTCAGCTGGTTTCCACTGGTCAGGCGCTTTGGCCAATTTTTCGCAAGCGGTTTTGATCAAGATTGGGGAGAGCTCGCCTCTGAAGAAACACTCTCCTCGTTCGATCGGGGCGAAATGCATTGCTCTGGACGGCTACTGTTCAGTCACAAGCACGCACGGCTTCAAACCACATGTGCTAGTTTGTGCGGCTTCCGGGTTGTGGCACTCGAAATGATTGTCCATGTGCTTGCACGTGACAAATTCCACATGTGTGAAAATGCGAACATGCTTTCGCAATCCGTCTTCCCCAAGCAGAAACACACAGTCTCTCGGACGCATTCCAATCTAGCAGGACCCGCTGCCATCAATGCAAGCACACAGACAGACACACAACTTTTCTTTGCAGCGCAGGATGAATCCTCTAGTTGTTGCCAGGCCTCCTGGTCGGGCCACAACAGGGCCTATGGTCAATGACGTGTTGTCTGGCCTGCGCTTCTGTCATCTTGGAAGCCACACGTCCCCAGTGATAGGGTACGAGGTGGCTCCACTCGCCTTCAATGCCAGACACACATGGGTTCATGTAATGTGACACAACACACAGCAGATCAGGCAACCACATCGAAGCTATAACAAATGTTCCGAATCTTTCCAAGAGACCGCCGTCTGTCACACGAACTCGGAGAAACCATTTTGCTTTGTCAGTGCCACCAGGATTCGGGTCGTACTTCATCTCACCAGCGATCTTGGGACACTCCGGGCATTGAACAGGTGTCCATACCCCTTGGTAGTCAACACGGTTCGGCCGCCGCTGATGTTGGGGGCCACGGACTGCAACCTCCCGTGGCTCGAGTGCTGGGATAGGCACTGCAGGCACCTCCGGCATCTCAGCAGGAGGGGCTGGCACTCTGCCTTCCTCGGGCTCCACGTGATCATCAGGCTCTGGGACAGGGATTGCAGCAGGCACCTCCGGCATCTCAGCAGGAGGGGCTGGCACTCTGCCTTCCGCGGCCTCCACGTGATTATCAGGCTCCGGCTCCACCGGCACCTCAGCAGGAGGTGCTGGCACTCTGCCTTCTGCTCCCTCTTGACCACTTTCATCAGGAGGCGCGGGTTGCTTCCTGGGCAACATACGTGGGCGACAAATCTTTCTCTTGGCTTTCCGTTTGGCCTGTGGCTTGGCCTTTGCTTTGGTCTTTGCTTTGGCCTTGCCCTTTGCCTTGGCCTTTGCTTGCTGCGTCTTGATGGCCTGCCAGGTTTGATGCACCCTTTTGATTCTGCGTTTTCTGACTGCGTCTGAGACCATTTTAAATTCCTGTTTGTCCTCAGCAAGCAGGTCGTCAAGAACCAGCTCATCAACAAAGTCCCCCATGATAATGTCATCCTCATCCTCATCCTCTGTTGAATCTTTGGCTGTCGAATACATAGCCTCAATTTTGCGCATGAAATCCTCATCTTCCGGAAGGTGATGAGAAGCGATCAGGCTCATGAGCTTTGGACGGCGCATTCGTTGCAGCTCCTTTCGCTTTTTTTCGTCTACGTTTCCAGTCTGGGAGATCACATGCTCGGCGAGATTCTGGCAGTCTGCGAGAGTCCGACATGCTTGTGACATTTCCCTCAGTCGAGTCAGCAAAAACAAGCACAGCAAAACTTATATAAGTTTATTGTACTATTTACTGTATGGGTCGACAGTTGACAGAATCCTAAATGAAAACATGTCACTTGGGATGCTGCAACATATAGGATAGAAGTGACACTGAGCTTGTAGCACAACGACGGAGGCAAATGAAGCCATTCCAGAAGACTGCCTCTGTTTCGATGACTTCCCAATACTGGGGCTCATACAAATGAATCCAGCAGGCCTTGACGCTGGAACCATCCGGGCACTCTGCCTTCAAAACAAAATATATCTCTCCTGTCGACTGGTCCTCATGCTGGACCACTGGCCACATGAGAGCAGCCCAGGTTTTTGCCCCAAGAGAGAGATAGCATGTCAAATCCAAGACATGGTTCAAGATCTTCAAAGGGGCTGCAAGGCTGCTAAACTTCCCAGCACGCAAGGGAACATGCTGAGATGCCAGTCTTGCATCATTGTAGTGAATTAGCCATGACCACGCAGCTGATGCTCGTTCGAGTGTCTCTTCTGACAGGGTGTTCCATGTCTTGTCGCCGACAATCTCGGTATACTGTGACGGCAGCTTGTGGACACATCCTCTGAAGCACAACTTTTGGCGCTTCCTGTCCACATTCCAAAACTCCCTTTCAAAATATTCCCGTTTGACTTTTGCCGGATGCCTGATTGAACGGCTTTCAAAGACGTTTGAATTCTCGATCACAGTTTGAATCGTGGAGTATGTTTGCTTGCGGGTTTTGTTCAACAAAGAATCATTACGAATCTTGTTGTGCACATCTTCCACAATCTTGTTGTCTGGCAGCGTCTGCACCAGAACACTCAGCAGGTGGGTTGCAGGGCATGCTGGTACCGATATTGTTACAGTCCTTTGAGCTGGCACTCTGCCCTCTTGCCCGTCTAACAAAATGTCACCAACTCCGGCACCGTCATCTGCTTCTTCAGGCACAGAATCCTCCATCTCCCCGTCCTGCTCTGTGTCAACATCATCCACGACAATGTCTTCTGACCCCGGAGGCGCCACTTCATATCCCTGTGCCTCCAATGTGTCCAGAAAAAGTCTCGAAGGATGGCTGATTCCAACTTGCAGGTCTGTGAAGAGTTGCCGGGCATGAACACTTGGAGTGGACCGTGCCAATGTCGACTCCAACCTCAAGAGTGATGTGTGATGGCCCTTTGCCTTCAAAGCCGTGATCGTCCGAATTTCTGCATCAGGTGACAGCAATCCCGCATAGGCATCTGGTGGAAGTGAAAAAAGACTGCAAGTCCAGACCCTGTTCATCAGCAAATGCAAGCTCAACATCATGATTTTTTCTGCGGGCTCGTGTAAATCAGTATCCAGA